AAAAGAAATATTCTGACATGCTCTTGGAAATCTATGTTTTCGGGTAATGTTTAGTATTGCACACCACTACCTTATCTATAACCATCACATTTTCCGCAGTATTTTTCAGGCAAAATTCATACGCTCCCCTTTGAATGTGATTGATGTGCTGACGATTTTGCCATTTATCATTGAAGCCTTCAACGAGCTTCAATGGATGAAAAATTTTAGAGGTAATCATGGTCATTTGAGTTTTAAATGGTGATGGTGAAGACTATTAAATATTTGTCCAAAGAATATTTGTATGATAATTTAGGTGCCATGCTCGTAGTGCGAGTAATGCGATTAGCCAGGGTAGCTCGTATATTTAAGCTGGCCAGGTATAGCACTGGTTTGCGAGCATTTGGAGAGACGATGAAAAAGAGTGCTGCAGAGCTTAGTATGCTGGGAATGTTCTTACTCACAGGTAACAGCACCTCATTCTTCTATCAAAATAAAGCGCAACTACAACAAAAAGCTTAGCTCTGCAATAAAGAGCCTGTTTCCTAGCATTAATCAACAAAGACCTTTAGGAATCATGCTATTCTCAACAGCAATTTACTTTTTTGAAAGGGATGAGCCGAACTCAAAATTCTACTCAATACCAGCTGCCTGTTGGTGGTGTAAGTTTTATTTGACTTTCGTTAGCTTATACAATCTGTTTTGAATTAAATAATCGGCATGTTTAGGTGTTATAACGATGACAACTGTTGGCTACGGTGATCTTGTTCCAGTCACGGCAGGTTTGTTTAGTAAACATTTCTTCGGGAAACTTCTCAAATATATTCTGCTTTAGGAGGCAAGGTTGTTGCCGCGATGGCTTCGGTTTGTGGTATTATTGTGCTAGCCTTTCCAATCTCTATGATCATCGATAAATTTGCCGAGTCCACAGGCGTTTGGAACGAAGTGGAAAAAGAAAATCCGAAAAAGGGGAAAGTGAAGCGCACATTTTTTTAACAAGGATGAAAAGATAACAAAAGATACCTTTCCGATTTTATCTCTTTTCTTTCTCATTACAAGTTTTCAGTAGGTGATTGAGATTTAGATTAAAATCAATGTATATTCATATGTAAAGTTAAGTGAATACTCGTCATTCCTACGTGTACTCCAGTGAAATTGAGTTTGTGCAGCCAAAACGATGTTTTCTCGACGCATAGCAAAACCTCATCGTTATGCTCAATGAAGCAACTGAGTTACAAACTATAAACACCAAATTTAGAAGCGGATCCAAACATTGATCTCATTGAAAACTGATAGATGAGCTGTATATACATATATCATTACTACATTTTGGTGCTGAAAATACGATATTGTTCATATGGAATTACTTTTAATGTCGTCGTATCAAATGCTAATAAAGTTTTTTGCTGTCCTTTCTTCTTTCTAACTAATGCGACTATACGAAAGCGATAATTGGAAATTTATATAGAGTAAAGACCACGATCTAGGAAGAGACAGAGTAATGAAGGAAACCCAATGTGATTGTTTCATAATAAATTACTACTTTAATCGGCTTTTTTATATTTTTGGTGAAATGTAACGGCTACTCCTGCAAATCCTCTAGAAAACGCAAGAACCTAGGTATTAATCGGATGCTGGAATTACGTGTGAAGGGTATTATCCAGTAAAGACGTTCCCAATCAGTTCTTAACCTGGGGTTTGCTGTTAGTTGCTCATCAGCACAGCGTAGTAAGCTTATCAGTCAATTAGTGCTACACCCCTCGCGGGTGGCAAGTTCAATAGTTGTTTTCATTTACGTCCTGCGCTACGAATAATAAAAAAAAACTGAAGACACTTTGACACCTATAATTTGAATCTTATTTACTATATATAATTATTAAACGTCGCAGGTCATCTACGAATAATAAAAAAAAAACTGAAGACACTTTGACACCTATGATGACCTGCGACGTTTAATAATTATATATAGTAAATAAGATTCAAATTATAATAGTAATTATAATTTGAAGTCTGCTTACTTAAGAAGTAATGCTTACTCGAAGTATCCATTCAAAACAAGATATGTACCATGATAACAAGGGTATGGACTCAAACCTTTCTTCCATATCTGCGAAACGGTTTCCTGGAAGAAGAATGGGCACTTTTTTCCATAAGGCCACCTACAAGAAGGACTATCGTGCAGTAAGGACAAGTGATAGGTGGCGCGAACATTTTGCGTTTTTTGCAATAATGTATAGTTGCTTGATAAATCTTACTAAAAAAATAAAAAACACTTACTGTGACTATCTACTAGTCATGACCTTGAAGCCCTTTCCAAACTCCTGCTCAGTTTTGCTTCCCTACTGATCTCACAGGAGGTTGCAGTAAAAACCATTGCGACGAAAGACATCTCCTTCGAAGCGCTCACTGTAAACAGCTTTCATGTTTCAAACACTTTATAGACGACTCATATGTTCATCATATAAATAATTTCAAGTTTATATCTGATTGGTTTCGCTTCTAACTGAGACTTTGGACAATAAACCAACAAGTTAATTGCCTTTACTGCTGCGTCACTCCATTACTTGTAATTAGTGCACAAGTACAACATATTGAAGGTGGCCTCACGAAACAAGTGTTCATATCTTCTTCCACAAATTCGTTTCGCAGAAAAGGAAGACAATTTTGAGTTTCCTATACCCAATTTGTTATTATGATACATATCTTGTTTTAAATGGCCACTTCGAGTAAAAAGCATTTTTTGGTTAGATACTTAGATGGCCTGTCTTCACTCGCCGTGTAGGCCACAGCACAGTTTCCATCCGTTTCTGCCTCTCGCTAGCGTCACCCACGATGTTGTATTGAACTGC